AAGATCGGATTGGAGATTATGGTGTTGTTGTTGTCGTCCAGGAAAAATAATATAATCTTCAATAGGAGGAACTCTCTCGCTGTTACAATGCCGTTTATTAGAGTTAATAAGATCAGTAACTTTTCTTTTATGAACATTGTTATTAGTGAAGGTATTATTTTTTTTGAGTAAACCATCATCATCAAGAGAAGAATTATCATCTTCAGAAGAATTGTAATCAGATAAAGTTGTGGGAGGTGTAGGAGGTGAGTTAATGATGTTTGCATTAAGATTAAGATTGTTGTTGCTACAGTTGTTATTTTGCGCAATGCAAGATTTACGAATATGATGATGAACTTTCCTTTCATTATTATTATTATTATTATTATCATCATTATTGGTTAGATCATTTTTTTGTTGAGAAGATGTAGATGAAGATGTAGGTAAAGGAGTTAAAGGAATCCGTTTTCGACGTTTGATGACAGATCTTTTCATAGTTGGGGGACGAGGAACATTGTGAAGTTTGAAGTAAAGGCCGCATGCATTACAGATCGTGTTGCCAGTTTCATCTCTTCTCCACAGAGGAGTGGTATTAGTACCGCAATTAGCACAAGTTAAGGCTTGACGATTAACCTGATGTTGATTAAAAGCAGGACAACCATCACAAGAACTATTTCCACCTGTTCCATCGCAATGACCATCACCAGGGCAGGTGCCACTACCACTACCACCACCATTATTATTATTATTAAAGTTAGAATTATTGTTGCTATTGTTGATATTATTGCCACTATCACTGTTAGAGTTGGTATTAACGTCACTGTCATTATCATTGTCATTATTGTTGGAAATATCAGTAGATGGTGATGATTCATTAATTGTAATAGGCACTTTTTTAATAGCATTACGTTTTAGCCAAGGAGGACGGACAGTATTACGAGCTTTTAGATAAAGACCTATATTTTTTTAATTATTAAATTAAATATATATATATTAATAAATGAATTGATGAAGAGAAAAAAACGTGGTAGGGATATTTACCGCAAGCATTACAGATTGTCTCACCGCTAGGAGCTCTCCTCCATAAAGGAGTAGTAGTAGTACCACAATTAGTACAAGCTGTGGCAGAAACACCATTATTTTC